TATAAGCTTTTGTTACTTTCACTGTTCATTTCAATGCTCTATTGCAGCATCTCAATACTGTAATCACAAAACATTTTCCTAAAATAATGCAGGGAACCACTCGTTATACATTATACGAGTGCACGCGTACTATTTTGATGATGTAATTTGCGTCACGCGCAGTGTACACGGACCCTCGCGTAAGAGTAAAAACCGAAGTATACTTTGGCCTTAAAGCAAGCTAAACATATGCAGCATGCACACGTTTGTGTTGGTGCAGAATGAGAGAGACACTTACAGCCTAGCGCATTTCACCCAGTCTGCTAGTTTCACTTCTGCTTTAAATAAAGTTGTGTATGCTTGACGTTTAAAATAAATGCTGTTTAAAGTGAATGCCCCTATAATTTTTGTTTGTTTTATATTTACGATTTAGTTTGAATCCAAATGTATGCGCTAATGGAGCGTACAGCAATCAAGATCATGCAACAGAAGTGCGCGCTCTCGGACTCTCTCTCTCGCTCTCTCTCTTGCTCTCTCGCTCTCCTAACCATCAAATAACTTTAGTAACTTATGCATTGTTTTACTTACTTGCTTTTGACATATCCGACCAAACTACAAACATTCCAGTGATGTCTGTGAGATATTCACTCGACAAGCTTGCCCATCTGTGCAGCCGCGCGCTTATCAGCTCGGGCGCATCTGCTATACAGCCGTGAATATTGAATGTTTAACATTATATTAATTACTTACATGTACTTCATAGACATCCTTAATCTCTAATAACTCCATTCTACTCTCTGTTGTTCTGTTTTCAGTGTTTCTTTTTCTGGACACAGCTCTATTCACACGCTGTTTGGTATCGGGGCATTTTTACGAGTACGAGTACAGGAGCGCAGTTTCGGGCCCGATACCGATACCAGTATCGTATCGGTGCATCCCTAGTTTCCATTATACAGTAGTTTGATTGTGATCTTTTAATGGGATCTCAATCTGTTAGTTTAATTAAAAAGTTCATAGACATAAAAGTTCCCAAAGTTGAAGGAACACTCATATACAGTACATGCGCTTCAGTAATTCCCTCTAAGGTCCGTGTATTTATTTTCTAGAGATACATGTTGCATTCAAATATTGGCATCAGTCTGTGGCTTCTGTTTACCCCCTACCAGAAACCTAAGATAAACAGTTATTCCACTGCTTTCAGCTCACCCATTTTGCTTAATTACAGAGCTAAACTAATGACAGGATCTATTAACTGACGCAAGACAGAATGAGCACAGTGTTTGTAAGCATGCTCCAACGTGAACGCCCCTCGTGCATGCCGATGAGTTGTGTATTTGGCTCCTGCGGGGCCGCAAGAGAGTCCCGCTGTCTCCGGTGATACAGAGCCTTTCGTGCGAGTACACCGACCCGGATCCATGCTAATTGAACGGGATCCCGGACTTGTCGGAACAGAAGGAGGAAGGGCAATAGTGGGCCCCATGCTGTGCGGACCACTTTGAGAACCCTAGGAGAAATCCAATACCTTGCTCTGGTGATGTATGCAGACACGGTCGTTTGGAGCCCAGGGTTACGGATTTCCCCACAGGCCCCGGTTCCTGTGCAGAGAAGGCAGCTTTAGACCGTGGACTCCTCTGCTTTATGGCTCAGGCTAGACTGTCTGGCTGCGAAAAACAGATAATGACATTAGATGTATTGTTTCAGCAGATGCTCGGACACATTCAGGCTCTTAGCAGAGGCTCGCTGCAGTCAGGAGTCTTGTTTAGTTGTTATCTGAGAGCGTGTTTCTCATGTTTGATAACGGTCGTTATGCTAAGTGCCTTCATGGAAGACTGAACCCAAATAACTTGTTTTCACCATGGGGAAACATCTTTTTTGCTCATTTTATCACTGGCTAGAATTGCATTAGGTGTCAAATGCCATGTCAGAGCAGGCAAATGCTGCTGCTGCTGCTGCTGCTGCAAAAAAAACTATTCTTGATGTGTATTTTTGTATGATTTTGCAATGAAAATATATTTTTAAAAAACAAGATGAATTTATTTAAGAAACAAAACTCAGTAAAATATTTAGACTTGTTTTCAGGGAATGCATTTTTAATATGAATCTATTTTAGATTAGTTTTTTCACTTGTTTAACAAGTATAAACAAGTATATGGAAGAAAAATAATGACAAATGTCTTTGAAACAAAAAAAGCATGTTGAATTGCACTAACTAAAAAATGTATGCATTGCATTAACAGTGCTTGCATTTTAATGCCTCGTATTTTCAGGGCTTTCATTTTTAGGGGCTGAAATCCAACATAGTTGTATATTTAAGCTGTGAATATTTAAATTCAAAACATTTCACACACATTTTCATGATTAAAAATTAAGAATTTGGCAAACTGTGAGTTTTTAATTGCGGGTATGGGAATCTTTAGTGTTGTAGTGTGCATATGGCATAAGAAGACTTCTGGAAGTCTTGGCATAAGGGGCCTCTTGCAATATTTCATCTTAAATTAGATGTTTTCCAGGAATGTTTATCTTGTAACCTTGGTGCATTGGCACAATAAGGGCGAGAAACATATCTCAGGTCCACTGGTTATAACAGGACTGTTACTTGTCGAGACATAATTTCAAGGAGCGAGGAATAGTGGTTTAACCCATTAAAGGACCCACTAAACATCTTTAACAAAATGCCTACATTGGATTTTTTTTAATGAGTTTACATTTTTTTAACTTTTAAAAAATATTCCCTTAAAAATGTCTTAAATCATATTTATTTTATTTTACTTTGTTTAAATTATTTATTTACTTTTGTACATTTATTTTAAGAGTTTTAGATGTTTAACTGGAAAACCATTTTTAGTACGTGAAATCCTCAGTAACATTTGTAATTTGGTTTTGATTAAAATTTGTAATTCCTTGCTAGTAAACAATATGGCCCATTTACAGTATATAAGTGTAATATTAATTGTTTGGCTACTAAATTATTTGGCATTTAACAAATGTTGGGTAAAATATTGATACTTTGCACCTTATCCTTTTAGAAAAATCTTCATGTTGTGTATAATGCCTAAGAATACTGTCTGTGTAGACATCTCACTAGGTTTTTGGAAAAGAGCCCCAGAATAGCTCTGGTGTGACTAACAGCCTAACATAGCCGTGTGCGGGTCAGAACAGGGCTTAGCCTTCTGCTGTCCTACAAAGTTAGGACCAGGTTATACAAATCCAGACAGGGCCTTCAAATCTAAATTTTTTCTGCCTCCAAATGTTTCACGCCATGTCTAGGATTGTCAGCACAATTAAAGCTGTGAGACACAAACTCACAGGCATGGACACAAGAGGGCAGAGAGAGGCCAAGCATAAAGATTACAAGAGAAGGGAGAGAAGTGGGGCAGATGAGAGGAGGTTGGGAATGCAGGCTCAGCAGCTAAGCATTACAGGAATTCAGTACATGCACACAATAGACGTGAATGAATCTGCAGACCTTCAGCCTTTTGACAGCTGACAGAGCTTATTACTGAGACATGATGCCAACATAACTGCATATGTTTGGTCAAGAATAGGGTGTTATCCTGCCATTACTCCAGACTGCAGTGCCACACGATCCTACAGAAATCATTCTAATAGGCTAAGCAGTTACTAAATTAACATCTGACTTTTGGAGGTCATGAAACAATTCTGTAGAAAACAATCATTCGGATTCACTTCTGTCTTTAGAATTGCAGAATCATTTGTGAACTAAATACTTTGTAAAGAAATGCATGTGATGCATTAGCCTTAAATGCATCTTGGCTATTGTTTAAATTTGAAAGATGCAGAGTTACTACACAGCTGGAGTTGAGCTCTTCAGACTACGTTGCCATTGATCCAGACTGCGGCTGCAGCCAACAATTGTACGTCTCCTCCAAACAACAGCATCATCAAACAGTGCTCTTCCTTCACTCTGACAGGCTCGATGAATAATTCCATTTGGAAGTTTGGCAAATGGCATATTTCATGTGAAAGATGGCCCGAAAATAACAAAGAGCTAAAAAATTTAGATTACACCCCAGGGGGAAAATATTCTTTGTAAGAATATTACTAAGTTGTTTTGATAAGATGTCTTAAAGCTGACCCAAACTCTTTTATCATCTTCACCTTCCATATACAGTACATCTATACTGGCCAATACTTGGCCATTTTGAGATGATCAGCATCAGTAAACCATCAGCTGACCAAAGGCCTGTTCACACCAAGGACGATAACTATAAAGATAACGATAAAGATATAGTTCTAAAAATCGTTCTCAATATTAAAGAAAAGCAGGGTCCACACCACAGCTATAACGATAAAAGCACAGAGAAACAATGTTGTTGGAATCACTTTCAGAATGATTTTATCCAGCTGATGAAATATTGACACCCAATCAAAACCAATCTTGCTATAATGAACTATACAGGTGGAGCTGGGGAAGGTGGAGGGTTTCCGAACCGCACTGCAACTGCTACAGCAAGCACTAGCCAAGCTCATTGGCTGCTGATACAAAAAGAACCAATCAGCTGTGCCATGTGATGATGTCATTATGTCAGATTGAGTTAGGCCTATCAGACTGTGCCATCTAGAGTTTCATGACAGAACTTTGGATTTATCTTTATAGTTATTGTTCTTGGTGTGAATGGGCCTTAAGAGATAAATGTAATTTTTTAAAGATCTCTCAGATATCTTAATGAATGAAGACATGTTTATATTTACATATCATAAGTTATAATTTATAATTATAAAATATATTATCAAGTTGGCATTATATAGGTTCTCTAGATTTAAGCATCAGCACCAGCCATTGAAAAAATCTATATTGGTCATCTGCAAATAGACACCAAGCGGAACTGTTACACAATGCAATTTGGGATTGTTTCACTCGAGTATAAGAGGCCACATGGGACTAACCTTTGCCCCAGATCCATTTTGTTGCCTCGCTGGTAACCCAATAGGAATATGATGAGGACAACAAGATTTATTAGCAAATTAAGGTATATAGGTAGTAAATTAAGTTTCAGTTTCAAGCAAATAATCAGATTTCTGACAGCATTTCAGACGAGCAACCTACAACTTATCATTAAGTCATTAAGATGAAGTGTATATATATATATAGATATATATATATATATATATCTCTCTAAAATTTC